GTCCCGGAGGCTGTGCCCACCCCACCCCCCGGCGGCTCCCGGGCTCCCGCCAAGGAGGCTCCAGCCAGGAGAGCTCCCGCGCCCGAGCCTGGCCCGGCCTCCAAGGGCGCCGCGCCGGAGAACGGGGAGGAGGCGGCCCGGGTCGTCCCACGCGAGCTCACGGTCAAGAGCAGCTCGCTGCTGCCGGAGATCAAGCCCGAGCATAAGAGGGGCCCGCTCCCCAACCACTTCGAGGGCCGCGGGGAGGGAGGCCGGAGCAGAGAGCTGGGCAGAGCGGCAGCACCTCCTGAGGCCGAGGGCTTGAAGTCCAGGAACCAGTTCGGTGCGGGCAGGTCGACGGTGACCACCAAAGTGACCCTGTAAGTAGCTGCGGAATTGGTCAGGGCGGAGCTGCAGGTCCACAGCTCTGCGGGGAGTGCTCTGAGAGGATTGGGGTCTTGGCAGTTGTGGCAGAATTGAGTGTAAACGAAATTTTCCTCCTGAATTTGACACAGGGAGGGGCCAATTGATACATTAAAGTTCAAAAAGACACACTTGGCTGCCTGGTTGGCTAATTTCTATTTTAATATAAAATTTAATTAATGTAAAAATAGGGTATCGTTGTAGGTTCAGTGATTGCTTCTAACCCCTTATAATGTTAGAGTCTGGTGATATATTTGCCCCCAGCAGTTTTTCCAGTTATGGAAATGATTTTCAGTGGACGAGTTTTCATTGAAATGAAGAAAGTTCAGTGTTCTTATTGGAAGATGATTAAAGGATAGGACACAAAACAACAGACTGACTGTTTGCTGTTATGTTTATTGATTTTGCAAGTGTTTATTGAGCTTCTGTGCATGGTTTTGTGTGCTAGGTATGATGGGGGTTGAGGGGGGACCCACAGCTATGAGTCAGCCTATGGACTCACAGCTATGAGTCAGCCGATTGCCCTTGAAAAGTTTACGGCCCTTTCTGGCACAGAAGAATCACAGAAATCAAATAAGAATGGGAGATGATATCTGACAAACTTGCCAGGTGGTTGTTACCATGTGTACAGACTGGGAAGTGCAGGGGGACAGGAAATCTCTGTTGGTGTTTTAGAGGAGCCAGGACTTGTGCCTTGGTAAGTGTGATTTGTACAGGTGGGCAGGGCAGGGCAGGGAGAGCTTACCATAAAGCTGCTAAGATCCTCCCTTCTCACAGTCCCACTCCCCTGCCCCACAGTTAGCACAGGTGAAGAATAATCCATTGAGTGGCTTAAGGTTTCTCTACATTCATCCATGTATTAAAAGAGCTAGTGTTTCCACAATAGCATCATGTTTGAACCGAATGGTTTCATTCTGTTTGAGATCCTAGGTAAGTAAGCTGAGAGTAGGAGGTCTGTTTGGTAAACACTCTTGAGAGGGGAAATGTACTTCATGAATAAGGAGAGCCACCTCACCAGCTGCCAGCTTGAGACCGTTGGTAGTCAGCTATTTATTCTGGAAGAGTAGCCTGGGTGAATGAATGATGCTCATTATTTGTAGAAGACCAGTGTGACAACACTAAGAGACACCTAAGTGTGAGCTTTAGAGAAATGTTGCTATGTACTGAGTTAAAGACGCTTTACCTGTCTTCCAATCAGAGGCGCTAGTGGAAAAACCAGAAATGTTACACCGTTAAAGAATAGGGTAAACAAACAGCAGAAGAGGATCTCTCAATGAAAGCTGCTTCTTGGCTACCTCCAGTAATGGAGCTAAAGGAAATGTCTGCGTCTGTCTCAGTGTTGATTCTTTCTACCTAAACATTTTCTTTACCACTGAATTTATATCATTTTGTTTTACACAGTTTGCACTGGCAAACTTTTGAAAGAGACAACTAATCATTCTTTTTAGTTTTTTGATTCATTTCTATTTGGATGGGTTTTTATTAGACCCTTTATTTCTTTCTCTTTATTTCAAATAGAAGTGTTAATTGGATTATTCTTGAGAACAATTTGGGTCTGAAAAGTTAGAAAATCATTTTATATTTCCCAAAAAAATATTAACCACGAAGCGGCTTGTTTCCTTGGTTGCTTTGGGCACATCTTATTTTATTCACGCAGCAGTCTGATCACATGTGATCCACGAGCACTCAAATAAATCAAATATGATCAGACATTAAAGATTGGCTTTTAGACATTATAGCCAATGATGCCACACTTGTCTGTGATCTCTCCAGCTTTAAAGAGAGTGTATCAAATCACATGCACTCCTCTGTGGTTACAAACCATTCAGCTCAGCTTCCTTAACTGAGCTTCCTGAGATGTTTGAAGCTACCTGTTTAAACGTTGCTAACTATTTTCTTGAGGCAGGACTAGGTGCAGGGATCTCTGCAGAGATTGGAGGAACCAGCTCAACCTTGACTTAGGGCCCAAATGTAGCCAGGAGGCTTCCAGTATGTACTAGCAGCATTCACCAGTGCTGGGGCCTTTCTGCAAGGTTATGGATCAGTTGGGCCAAGAGTCTAGGGTAGACTGGCCAAATGAAGGCCACTCTTGGAAACAGCATGTTTTCTTATAATGTTAGAAAAATGATTTCTTCAAGGTGTCTAGAGTGCCAAATATTGGAATTCATTTTTTATGTTTAGTGATTTTTTACTATAGAACGCATGCACTCACTGGAGAGACAAACAGAGAGACAGAAAGTGAAAAATCATCCCCCAGAGGGTATGGCCATGCTGCATCCCTTCTCCAGTCTCCTCTCAGGATTTTGAGCATGCACGCACATGCACCTGGCATGAGTTTTAAGCCACCCAGTCTGGTAATCAAGCCATAGTCCACTACGTGGGTGTCCAGTGACATAACCATTACACCATCCGCTGGTCCCAAGTGTTGAAATTCTTAAAATGGCATGTTTAAATTAAGAATTTTCCTCTTAGAATTTTAACTTTTTGGGCCGGAAAGTGGCGTGGTGGTTAAGGGTGTTGTACTCCACATGATCGATAGTGTTTCAAGTCCCGGATCTGGTGGCTTGCTTTCTCTCTGTCTTTCTCTCTCTCTCACTCTGCCCCTCTCTTGTCAAATTAAAATAAATAAGTAAGTAAATAAATAAGTAGTTAAATAAAATAATTCTTAAAAAAAGAACTTTTAAACTCCAGGTTATTTTTCCCTCTCACATTATAATGAAGGCATTACAAGAAGTTATTAAAGAGGCCTTCCTTTTAATCAGTCTGAACGAGGTTAATTGTAGTGACTCTTGGGAGCAGAACTTAATAGCACAGAAAGTTTGGTTGTACATGTATTTGATCTTGGTGTAAATCTTACATGCACAGATGGGTGTTTCCTGCCCCAATGTAAGCTTGTTGGCTACCGTGTTGCGTTTCCTATTTCCTAAATGCACTTTGGTGTGTGACTTGAGTACTGTTCCTTGAGCTGATTAATGTGAATTTTTAAATGTATGTTTCCTGGTATCGGGGCATCTCCTCATTGACCAGTAGCATTTGCAAGCTTTCTATTTGTAACCATCTCACTATTTTTAGAATTTTCTCTTTAAGGAAATGCTTGTAAATTAATCCTGCTTTTGAAATTAAGATATGGGCCTGCAGTAAAGGAGCCTAGATGTCTTACGGAGATCTTGGGGAAAGGAATGTCTGGGAGAACGTTATGAGCATATAGATATCAAATTTAGTATTTAGATGAGGTTGTAAATGAAAACCTAAATTCTCAGCGCTGCGTCTGGGGACTACTTGATGGTATCTAGCCCAGTCTTATCATTTTATCTAGAGGATAAGGTGTCTCACCTGCTCAAAGTCATACTGCCTGTCATTTCTAGAGGTTCCCTAGGCCCAGCTTTCTTGAAGGCCGAGTGTGGGGTGGTGGCAGGGGAGGGCAGCACGGGGTTCCCGTGCTTCTCTGTGTCAGTGTTCTCATTATCATAGATCTCATGATAACTCATTGACTCTTTAAATGATAAAGATGAGAAGAACCGAAGAAGGTCATTGGACGAGTCTAGGCTGACCCTGATTGCGGAGGCAGGGTTGTATAATGGTCAGGAGCTCTCAAACCAGAGCACCTGGCTGCAAATCAAGGTCTGTCACTTGCTAGCTGTGTGACCTCAGGCAAACTATTTACCTTCTCTAAGCCTCAACTTCCGTATCTTAAAATAGAACGTACAACGTCGTGGGTTAGGGAAGCCAAGTGCTTTGCAACCAGTAACTGCTAGTGGTTATTATTTCTGTCTCCCATCTTATAAACCACTAGACCATTGGTTTAGGAATCTTTTCTCTTAGAACACCTTATATAAAAGCGATAGATAAAACCGACGTGGAAGTGATTTTGGTTAAAGGAGGGTGGACAGCTTTATCTCTCTGTTCCTACTGTCTTGGAAGAGAACTCTCCGGATTCTTTCAATCACACATTGGGGGTTAAAAGCAACTCTAGTCTCAACAATGTTGTTTTGGTTTTGTTTACTTTTTAATAGAGAAAGAAGGTAGAGTCCAGAGGGGAAAAGTAGCTTGACCAGACTCACACAGATGATGAATGTGAGAGCCAGAATTAGTCAGTGAATGCCAAACAGAGTGCATTTGCTTCTCTGAAAAACAGAAAACACTGTGTACACTAAAAGACTTGTTATTTCCATTAGTGGGTAATTATGCCCAAGAACTAGACAAAGAAAGGGACACTCTCTTTACCCGGGAAGTGGTGATAAAACCAACAATTGAGTAATAGCTAAGTAAGTATTGGGCCATCCATATGATGAACTTTTATGCAGATATTAAGAAAACTTCTCCAACAAATTTTTAGTAACCTGAAAAATGTTAACTGTGAGATGCAGTAATATTTTTTAAAGGCAAGATACCAAACTCTGTGATCAGAATAATCCCAATTCTGTTAAAAACCTTTAAGTATGCATCTAAACCAGAAATATACTAAAATACTAAGTGGGATAATTTCTAAGTTATAGGATTATGAGCGATTTCAAAATATATATTATGAGTGATTTCAAAAAAAATATATTTCCTCAATTTTTCAATAATGTATGTACTGAAATAGAGAAAAATTTTAGGAGGGAAGCATGGAATAAAATATCCAAAGAATTCAATAATAGAAGAATATTTTTTATAATGTAGTTTTTTGAGATAGATTTTTTTAAAAAATTATGACAAAATACATAATTGATGTTTGGGGAAATAATTTTAATATTTAGAGGATGGGAATGCATATGTTCTAATGTTCTTAAGGCCCTAAGACATTTTTTCAAGCTCTATTGTGAAGTACCGTGTGAACAAGTGGTTATCTTCAGAAAAATTCCAGAAAATGTGTATTATGAGAAAACTACTCATTTATTTAGAATTATTTTTGTGGCACCAGCAGATGGCATAATGGCTATGTCACTAGACTCCCATGTAGTTAACCGCAGTTCAAGTCCCGGACCTGGTGGCTTAAACTCACGCCAGGCATGTGTCCAAGATCCCAAGAGGAGAATGAAGGAGAAGGAATTGCGGTGTGGCCATCTCCCCGGGGGGTGATTTCTTGCTTTCTGTCTCTCTGTCTCTCTCTGTCTTTCTAGCAAGCGCATGCTCCCTATAGCAAAAACCTCTCAAGAAAAAAAGAATTTTTTTGCACCAAAATAAACTTGTACTTTAATTTCATTTTTCCAGACTTTTTAAAGTCTTCTCATACTTAGTATGTACTTAATAAACTTGTAAACCCTCTGTTTCTAGAGTTTCTTAGCTACATTTTATATACACACACACACACACACACACACACACATACATACATACATATACACACACGTTTTATTTTTTAGAGAGATTTTTGCTATAGGGTGTGCGCATTTCCAGAGAGAGACAGAAAGTGAGAAATCACCCCCCGGGGGGGATGGCCACTCCACAATCCCTTTTCCTCCATTCTCTCAGGATTTGGGGCACACATGCACATGTGCCTGGTGTGAGTTTTAAGTCACCAGGTCAGGGACTTGAACTGTGGTCTTCTACGGGGAAGTCCAGCAACGTAAACATTATGCCATCTGCTGGTCCCGTTACATAATCGTATTCCTCATACCCAAACAAAACATCTATTAAAAACAGATGATAGTGTATTAGGGTTGTTTAGAAATAGCTTAATGGGGACCAGCAGGTAGTGTGGTGATTAAGGTGATGGACTCCACAAGGCCCATTGTGGTTTGAGTCCCAGACCTGGCAGCTTGCTTTCTTACTTTCCCTCCCTCTCTCTAGCCAAAAACAAAATAAAATAATAAATAAATAAAATTAATTCTTTTTTTTTTAAAGAAATACTTTAATTTAAATAACAAGTGCCATATACTGAGAAGATGTTGGCATTTCACAGGAGGTCTGTGTGTGTGTGTTAAAACAAGACCTTGCCATGTTGCATCCTCCTGCATCAGCCTCATGAGCACCTGGGGCCACAGGCATGCCTCCATGCCTGGTTCTTTTAGACAGGGTCTCGTGCTGCCCACGCTGCCCACTGGCTCGCTATCCTCTTGCTCCAGTCTCCTGAGTAGCCGGGTCCTGACTGCAGGTGCACACTACCATATCCAGCTTTCTAGAGTGTTCAGGAGTGGAACTCAGGCCTCCCACGGGGTCTCAGCCTGCCAAGCAGCAGCACCCAGTATGCTCAACTGCGGCATTTTTGTTGTGAAGTATGCAGGCTGTGTGCTGACTTTTTAGTCAGGTCTCTTAACTGTATCCTATTGCTTTTTTTCTTACAGCCCTGCCAAGCCCAAACATGTGGAACTAAACCTTAAAACCCCTAAGAATCCTGACAGTTTGGGAAATGAGCATAATCCATTTAGCCAGCCAGTTCATAAAGGAAACACTGCCACCAAAATCTCCTTATTTGAAAACAAACGAGCAAACAATAGCCCAAGACACACCGACTCTCGAGGCACGAGGAACACTCCTGCCTCTAATAAAACATTTGTTGGGAGGGCAAAGCTGAATTTAGCCAAGAAAGCCAAGGAGATGGAACAACCCGAAAAGAAAGTATTGCCAAACAATCAGCAGAATGGTGAGCTGGGAAAGGGAAGCTCTCCAGAAACCAAGGTAATTCTCCCCGAGAAAGAGATTCTGCCAGCTACCAGGGGAATAGAAGGACAGCCTACCGAGGACCTAGCTCTCGGTTTTCAGCCTGACCAAGATGATAAAGCAGATGTACAAACAGATGCTGCCTGCCCTTCAAAACCAGTGGCTTCTGCTCTCACTCCCATCGAGGACCATGAGCTCTTAGGTGAGGATGATTCGAAGGCTATTGACAACAAAAGACTTACACTTGAAAATATGACTGATACTAAGGATTTACCTCCAGCAGCCTTACCACAGCCACAAAATGCATTTCTTGACTCACAGCCCTCGGCTGAGTCAGCTCAGGAGCCCTCTCTGTCTCTGCCTGCCCCCGTTCCTGTGGATGTTCCCAGAGACACATGTGCTGAAGCTTCCATAAGTGATTTTCCGTGCACTGGTGTGAAAGAATCAGCACACCATAATGGATGTATTTTGCCTGTCTCTCCTCAGAGTAATGACAAAGCGCCATGCTCCACATCTGGAGCAGAAGCAGCAAACCCTCCTCTGTCCACAGAGCATAGCACAGGAGCTCTGGGAGCTGAGCGCCCAGCCAAGGTCCTTGTGCAGGTCAGGTCCTTCGTTCTCCCCTTGGAGAGCACCCGGGAGGTGAGCTCCCAGATCATCCCAGACAGCTCTGAAGTTAGAGAAGTGCAGTTGCCAAGTTGTCACAATAATGAACTTGAAGTGGTTTCCGTTGCAAGCTGTGCTCCCCAGCAAGAGGAAGTTGTGAGCAATAAGAACACATCGCCCAAGCACACCCAGTGTAAAGAGGAACATGTGGCTGAATCTAGCCCACAGGTCATGCTGCCAGAATCAGGGAAAACCCTGCCTATCCAGGCTCCAAGTCAGGACAACAGAATGTCCTCATTGGCCAGATCCAGCCCCATCCACTCGCCCAGCTGCAGCAATAATTTAGAAACTCGTACAAAAGCAGATCAAAACATTGTGAATGGCCAGGATACCTCTGCCAATCTTTTGAACATTTCTGCTGGTAGTGATGACAGTGTATTCGACTCTTCTTCTGATATGGAAAAATTCACTGAAATTATAAAAAAGATGGACAGCACAGTTTGTGTACCTCAGAAGAAAAAAAAGGCCAGGATGCCAAACTCCCCTGCCCCTCATTTCGCCATGCCTCCTATTCACGAAGACAATTTAGAAAAGGTGTTTGATCCCAATGTGTTTACCATCGGTTTGGGGAAGCAAAAGGGAAGCCAGCCAGAAATGTCACCAGCTTTACATTTGATGCAGAACTTTGACACAAAATCCAAACTGCGACCCAAACGTGCATCCACTGAGCAGAGCATCCTCTTCAAGTCCTTGCACACTAATACTCACGCGAAAAATGAACCTGTTACCACTTCAGAAATAAATGACAAGGAAAACAGGGACATCCCAGATGGTGGAGTAAAGAGATCGAGGCTAGAAAAAAGCACACTTTTCTCAAGCATTTTATCATCTTTACCACAAGACAAAATCTTTTCTCCCTCTGTGACGTCAGTCAATACCATGACCACGTCTTTCAGCACTTCTCAGAACGGTTCTCTATCTCGGTCCTCAGTGTTGCCGCCTGGGGCGGGCGGGGCCCCGCCCTGTGGTTCAGACAAAGAACAGCCAAATCTTCCGCCCAACTACTCCTTGCAGGTCTTCAATTTCGACTCATCAAATACCTCTCACTCAGGTTTGAAAAGTCCAAGCCACCTGGAAAAATATCTGCCAAAAGAGGTTACCCAAGAAAATCTGGATTCACGAAGCAACCTGCACTTGCCAGAAACTAAGTCTAAATTTACTGAACTTTCAAATCTGAAGAGCACTGACGATATGGAAAGGGCTAATCATACTGAAAGTGTTCTTAAATCGAACTTGCCAAACTACGGAAACAGTGACACCAACTTCATGGGTCTTTTCAAATCAAGCCGGTATGATCCAAGCATTGCTTTTTCTGGAATGTCATTATCAGATACAGCGGTAAGTAGTGACATACCTTATTTATTTGGGGTATATATAAAGCAGAGAGAAAGAGAGATAATGAACGATTTATGTTTTTATTTTAGAAATAGTTATGCTTTTGTATGATAGTTTTCATATTTAAGAACTTCTATGTACGAGATGGAGTTAGCAGGCAGTGTGGTGGTTAAGGCACTAGACTCCCACGTGGCTAACCATGGTTCAAGTCCTGGATCTTGTGGCTTGCTTTCTCACTTTCCTTTTCTCTCTCTGGTCAGATTTTAAAAAATAAAAAATAACATTAAATAAATAATTCCCTAGAAAAAAATCCAGGTAGAAAGAGTCTAAGATTTTTCTCTCAAGGTATTCACGGTCTAGCAGGGAGTATATGCTAGAAATATTTTAAGACACAAGTGAGTTTGCAGTTGTATTATGAAAGATACAGATAAAAGGTTCGAGAATACAGATAAGGTTTTTTTGTTGTTGTTGTTTCTTACCTATTCTGTGTAAAAATGCTCAGTACTATACTGAATTTTGCTGATTGGCAAAGTAGCTTCCTCTATTTGGGAAGGCCCCAGCCAATGAAACTTACTCATAATTCCTTCCCTCATGCTGTGAGAGTTACTCTGTTTTCCCACAAATAGCAATACATATTTATCTTATGCTGTTAAGAAATGGAAATTGGTATTTCATCAGGGAAATATTTTTGTTTCTGCAAAATTGTGGATGGTGTGCTCACTTTGGCAGCACGTATACTCAAATTGGAACGATACAAGAGAAGATTAGCATGGCCCCTACGCAGGGATGACATGCAAATTTGTGAAGCATTCCATAAGGAAAAAGAAAAAAAAATTGTGGATGGTAAAAAATTTTTAGTGCACATCGAACCTTCCCTTTAATATCATATAGAAGACAGCAAAATATAATTTTGTTTCTCCATCTTCTTTTATCTAGCCTCCAGCAGTTGTTTTCCTCACTCAGTTTTTAATGTCAATCTGTGCTTTTTTGTTACCAAGCTTGATACTTAAATTGAGGGAGGACAGTGAAAGAGACAGAATATGAGATTTAGAATCCCACGTTTTCACTCACGTATGACAACTGAAAGAGCTGACTTCATAGAAGTAAACAGTAAAATAGTGATTATTGGAGCCTGAGAAGCGGGAGGGGTCTAGGAATGTCGCTCAAGGGAAACAAAATTACAGTTAGGTAAGAGGAATTTCATAGCAGGGTAACTACAGTTAATAATTCATTGTATATATTGGGATAGGTAAAAGAGGTTTGGGGGCCAGGTGATGGTGCAGTTGTAGCATAGGTAGATCCACGTGAGAGAGGTCCTGAGTTCAAGTCCCATGACCTACAGGGCATATTTGGCACATGTGTGCCCAAGATCTGGGCCAATTAAGAGTAGGAGTGGACTGTGGTGTTAAGAAACCATGTGAGGGATGCTATATTCTGTCTTGCTCATGGGAGAAATAAATGAATAAATATTTTAAAATTTAAAGAGAGAGGGTTTTGAATGTTCCCAACACAAAATAATGATACATGTTTGAGATGATGGAAAGACTAATTACTCTAATTTGATCATTCCCCATTGCATTCATGTACTGAAGAAAAAAGTCACATTGTCTCAGATAAATGTGTATAATGATTATGTATCATTTTTTTTGAAAAAGGGATGCAAGAGTTAGAGATCAGCTGGGCTAACCTCTAATCATGAGAGGAGCTTGTATTCCTGGGAATTAGGACAGCCGGCCAGTGTAGACCATGATCCTGTAGGTTTTATGGAAGCAGAAGACACCTTGCCTGCTTCCTCGGGTGCACAAGACACTGCAGTGCGTTTCAGTGTGTTGTACTGGCTGCTGCTCCAACCCGGTCATAGTATAGGATTTTGGTATCTCTTTTAAAATATGTAGTTAGGTTTCCAGCAACAGCGCAGATCCCTTTCCATGTGATTTTGTTATCCAGTAGGTTTTGGAGTTTTTGGTCTTAGGATATTTAAAAATTACTGAGAACTGCAAAGAGCTTTTTTTTTTATATGAGTTATACCTATCGGATTTTACTATACTATTAGAAATTAACACTGAGAAAATTTGGAACTGTGGAGCCCACTAGCACACATTCCATTAGCCTTTAGAGCAGTGATGTCATCACACATCATGGAGCCTGGTACTCCAGTGTACCCTGGGAGAGGAAGAGATGGGAAAGACAGATTACCTCTTGTTATTATGAAAATGGGTTTGACCTCACAGACTGACTCCCTGAGAGGAGCCTCAGGACCACACTTTGAGATGCACTGCTCAAAAGAAGACTGCATCAGCCTATGGCACTGGAGACCATAGGATTCCTTTTTTTTCCCCAGAGAGGTTTTTGCTATAGGGCGCATGTGCTCGCATGAAAGACAGAGAGAGACAAAGACAGAAAGCGAGAGATCAAAACCCCCCCCCCGCAAGGGGGGATGGCCACACCACAATCCCTTCTCCTCCATTCTCCTCTCGGGATCTTGGGCACACACGCACATGCACCGGCATGAGTTTAAGCCACCAGGTCCAGGACTTGAACCGCAGTCGACTACATGGGAGTCCAGTGACATAGCCATTACGCTGGTCCCAAGAGACCATAGGATTCTTAACCATATTGCTCAAGCACAACATTTCCACTGGTACACTTCCCATTCATTATGGCTTTGTTTGTTTTAATTATTCATAGGTCATTTCTCTTACTTGGCTATAGTCTGATGAGTCAGACAACAGAAGATACCAAGTTTCCTTATGCAAACCAAATCAAATGGAGTAAAAAGGAGCAGTGAAATGCTTTATACCTTTCTAGGCCTTTTAAGAGACATTTACTTTTCTTTAAATCCTGGACTTTGATGACTAAATAACTATTCTATCCTTAATATTTTACCTAAATTTGTTTTAAGTTTTAAACTTTTTCTTCAGTTTATCTACTTTTAAAAAAATAATTATTTTATTTGACTTTATATATTTATTTATTTGAATTTTGACCATAGACGGACAGAGAGAGAGAAAGAGAGAGAGAAAGAGAAAGTGAGAAAGCAAGCCACCAGGTCTGGTACTTGAACTGCAGTCAACCTTGTGGGAGTCCAGTGCCCTAACTACCATGCCACTTGCTGGCCCCAGTTTATCTTCTTTGATGTGTGTAAATAAATAAGTATTTGGCATTTTGATTTCTTGTCAACTTTCCAAAAGGTAGGTATCAGAAACAGAGAAAGAGAAGAGGGAAAAAGCATTCTCCAGTGAGGATTCATGCCACAATTACTTCTCCATTTATTCATATTGTCAGGATCTGGGGCATGCAAACACATATACCTGGCATGTTTTCAAGCTACCTGATTGGGATTTGAACCACAGTTAGCTATGTGGGATCTGTATCTCTAGGCTATGAGGCCAGCCTGACATTTTGATTTCTGATGTGTTTAAATAGGCCTTCTTGTGGTCTTTTGGGATCTTCCACTTTGATGTGACGCAAGAACAATCAGATCAAAGCCAATTTTTAGAATAGGCACCTGGTCAGCATTGAAAGTAGTCCATGTTTTGTAATATTCTTACATGTGTAATTACTGTCTTTATTATCTTCTGCCTTTCTGGTTTTACTGGTCTGATCAGATGGTCTTGAAAATGATTAGTTTTGGAGTCATATAAGAATGTATTTTGTCCATCAGAAAAGGGATTACCATATACATTGGCAATGTATGTTGCACGTGGGATAGTTAATCATAAATTATAAGCATATTTATTTAGAGTTGTTATAGTAGATGTTACTACGAAAAAATAGTATTTGTAGATAAGGTGTGCATATGAACACATGAAAGTGACTTAGCTCTTTCTAGGTAAGTTATTAAACATTCTAATTTCTCTTTATTTATTTGAGATTATACTGAGAATATTTGAATTATAATCTCTTAGCTGGGTTCTTATTCTGTGAACTGGCATAAAACACAGATCTGATTTTTGGGCTCTGAATTTTTTAGCATTGATGGAAATATCTTAGACATTTAAATGAGGAGATATTGACATAGTAAATTCAGTTAGAAAAAAATGTTTTTAATGTAATAGTATAAACTCAGAAAGTGTTTTGTTTTGTTTAAGGTTTTTGCCAGAAGGTGCCTGTGTTTCCCGGAAAGAGACAGAGAGAGACAGTGAGAGGGAAAGTGAGAAATCAGAAATGACCCACCAGGGAGGATGCACATGCCACAGTCCCTTCTCCTCCATTCTCCTCCTGGGATTCTGGGCACACACTGATGTGAGTTTCAAGCCTCCAGGTCTGAGACTCAAACCACAGTTGGTCATGTGAGAGTCCAACACCTTCCTACTGGCCCCAACTCAGAGAGTTTTAATAGAATTTTGGCATAGATCAAAGTATACATGTTAGCAAATTGTGAGAAGTATGACCTTAAACATCATGGGTGACAAAAAGACGACTTCATATAATGTTCTAATTATTTGTTGTGTTTTTGTTCATCTGATTGCAGACACTTAGAGGAAGTGTCCAAAATAAACTCAATCCCCGACCTGGAAAGGTAAGATTATTTTCTATTTCTAATCCAGGTTTTATTTTCCTCAGATACACTACAATGAAGTGTGCTACCCC